TAGGTTTTGTGAACAAGCATAAGAGCGAGACTATCAAAAGGTAGTCTTGACAAGAATCAAAAATGTTCAACAAGAAGCGAGTCGAATTTTTTGTAGACTTGCAACTTTCACATCAATTCAACATTCAAAATTCTCTTCGAAATTCAGAAGACTGAGCTCTCAAAATCCCAAACAGCATGCCGGCATGTCTGTGGAATGTCCGTGATGGGACTCGAAAGGCTATATAGCAAGAAAAAACTCGGTTATTTTAGAATCGCGATTTCAAATCTATCAAAAATTTAAAAATAAATGAAATCTAGAAGTTAAATAAAAGCAATGTCTTCGTGGCCTATAAATCTGCAGTACCTTGTCAACATGCTGTCACAGTCTATGGGGCAGATCATACTTGGAACCGGACTGGCCGGTTTGCCGGTTGCCGGTCCAGTCCGGTCGAACTTTTAAAACCGGCCGGTTTTTACCGGTTTTTTTTAACTTTAAAACTTTTAAAAATTTTTGGGACACTACAACTTGCATATTTTGCTCGTTTTTAACGGTTTCTATGATTTCAATGATCAAGGGATATGAGCTTGGAAGTTTCCAACTGATAAATTTTCAATCATTGTCGAAATCCCAGCTCTAAATATTGGCTAACACTTTCCCATCCTAGGATGAGGACCTCGGAGCATGTTGAATGAATTTGTTTATGTTCACGAAAAATAAGCCAGATATTAGCAGCTAATATCGGTCTAAACTATAGATTTTTCACCTCGAAATTTTGAGTTCACTTTTCTGGACTAATTTTACTCCACTCTCATAGAATCCCAATAGCTAGTAGTATTCAGTTCATGCTTTCATAACAAAATATAAGAAAAGATTAAGTTCCGTTGCCAAGATCTTGTGGACTACTGCCATCATGTAATTGTGAAAATACTTAGATATTAAGAAACCTTAAATAGGAAGTCTAATATGAAAGCCATACGTTTTAACTCACCTCATCTTTCTCTCGGCAGTAACATCCTTTTTTGCGGATTGAAATGCCTTTCAGCTGTGTTAAAATAATTATTTCAAATAAAAATAGATTAAATTTATCAATTGTAAAGAATTCATATCGTTATAGAAAAAAGTCAGCCAAAACATAGTTAGATGTTGTTCAATATTAGTTGCTGGAGTTCTAAGTCAAACATTTTTTAAAGAAATGGTCATTCCTTCTTAATGTTAGCACATGAAACGTGGCAAACTATAATACGAGCTGTTACTATTAGAAACTTCAAGAGTTATGAATTTGACATCGTATATCTTCGTCAAACTGAAGTAATAGACTGTTTCTCGAAAGTACTGATTGGTTAATTGATGCATGAAATGCACCGGTTTTTTGCCGGTTAAATCAAGAATTTGGACCAGCCGGTCCGGTCCGATCTAAAAGAATCTGACCGGTTCCAAATCTGGGGCAGATGTGGGAAACTGATACGACTTATGTTGTTATTCTCTAAACTGAGAAGCCTAGAATCTAGAAAGTTAAATGAAAATGAAAAGGCTACAATTTTTCAGTCTATTTGATTCTTCTTTTTGTTGGTTTTTTAAATATTTTTTGCGATCGTTGAAGTTGGCATTTTTTAACCATTCAATATTTGTATTTTTGGACCATGGACATTTGGAAAATAATTTGAACGAAAAATATTACATTTTATATTTGCTTGAAAAGTTTTGGATTGAAACTGGTTTATTTTTCAGATCAGATACCCTTTAAACGCAATCTTTATAGAAGTAGAATGTTTCTTTCCTTGGAATACGACTTTAAACAATGTTGTTGTTAATAAAAGCCATGAAAGAAAAAACTACCTGTTTCACAGATCTTGACAAACATGTTGAGATACTATTCTAAATATTGCGGACTATTACCATTTTAATCCTTAGAGTGAATAGTATAGGGCTTAGAATCTTAAATTATAAGAAAAATTAGGGGTGTTTGTGCCGGTTATAGTGTCAGGCAGTTGTTATCTATGTTTTTATCTTTCCTTTCCTTCCTTCTCTTTTCTCGTTTTGACATCGTATATAGATGATATACATGATAGGTATTTTTAAATACTGTCTCTTTAGAGACCGTCTGAATATTTCCATTCATGATCATGATCTTTCTAATATGTTTCTGTATTTCCAACTTCGTTAATATATAAACTTGTAGCTTTTTCGAATAAAGTAGCTCTTTTCCATTCACTAAAATCATTCATCCGCTAACAGTATCTCTGACGCCATTGTTTGAAACAGTGACTTTAATGCTTATATCGGTGCCGTCTATGCTTGTATCAGTGACAGAGGTTGCTGAAGTATTTCGGATTCAATCTTTCAAAGTACAAATGACTTTTCGTTTTCTTTTCTATAATTAAATTTCGAATAAAATCTGTACTTCGGTATGAAATCAATTTCTTAGCGAAATGGATAATTTGATTTTCAATTGTGTTTTTTTTACACCTAGATTTTTCTTTTATGTTCACAACCATGATTTGACTTTTAGTAAATTTTAAACTGGAAGAAAAATAAAATCTCAAAAGAAAGCAAGAGAAAAAAATTACGATACATTTGTCAAAACTGTACTGTAGCCTGTAAAACAATATGAAACAACCTATAGATAGGAAAATAAAGAAGAATACCATTTGCAATTTGAAAATTAAACGAAAATACTTCATCCACAACTTCTATCACCGTTACAAACCCAAACATCACCGATACAGACCCCGCAAATTTCGATGTTAGCTTAAGAATCTAGACCCGAAACATATCGGTCTAGGGAAAATTAAAAGAAAAACAGAAAATACCTTATTTACCGCAAGACAGCACTGATGAAGGTTTGACAAACCGTTTTTTTGAAAAACATCTAAACCCAAACGAGTTATTTACTGCTTGCACATCTCAGCTTTTTAGTCTAGAGAATAGAAGATCTAGCAAGAACTTTGATGATTGAGGCTCGCAAATCATCTCTCGAAGTATGAGTCTTGCCAGAAGAACCCTGTAAAACTTGCATATACTGTCATAAACTCAGCTAATCATAGTGCATTCGAAAGTACGAAATTTGGCCTACTCAACAATGTATGAAGCTCGAACATATAGAAGAGAATAACAGGAAAGAGCGGTAAAATAGAAATGATATGCAGCCATGTTCGCAAGAAAAAGGATCTTTCTCATTAACTATCTGCACAAGATCTTGTTAACAACTGAATGCCATGCAGCAAAAAAAGAATGAATGAGAATGGCATCTTCAAAATTTACACCGTTGTTCCACAATTTAGCAAACAGAATTTACATCGATAATTCTTATCTACTGATAAACAGTAAAAGCATAATTTCTGTTCATGTTGTTCCACGGAAGTTTATCTCGAATTTTCATCCGAACGGAAACAGAATTTGTGAATAAATGTGTTTTCCTATTGACTCTTGCACTAAGCAGTAATTCAATTAAAGCATGTTGCCAGCATGAGTTCAGCACTATCGATAAGATTGCTGTAACGGATGATTTAGCCAACCAAATATCAAGGAAAAATTTCCTATTCGAAAATTTAGTCAAGTAAATCATTCGTGATTATGTTCAACTGAACCTTGCTTCACAGAATACTTGATGAATGACTGATTCGTACAAAAACTTCAGGAATCACATGGGCTGTTATTGTTATCAATCATCGAACAAGTTTACCATAATATTTACAACTACTTGTTCACATTCTGTTTGCAAAACATCAGAACGATCGAAGAAAAACGAAATAAGCAACGAAAACAATTGGCACCAGACATATTAGCAATGGCAGAGAGCTCAATCAAACGGCACAAAAGCCAAACAATGGTGCGATCAATTGCAAATAATCGAGAGAGATATGAAATTGTGTGACATGCGGTTGTTGGAGATGATAGAAGATGAGAAAAAATGCAGTTTGAACTTTCAAAAGTTGAAAAACAAGAGAAAATAAGAACAGCATACATTGATGCATATATATACGTTTATTTGATAGTAAATATCAGCCACTAAAAGTAGCTGCACTGTTTTGTCCTACTTGTCTTAATCAACTTTCATCGAAGAAAAACTGGCGATTCCCGGACACTAAATTTTTCTTATAGTAAAAGTGGAGTATCTCAGGAAAACGTTATGATTTTGCACTTAAAAGTCATTCAAAACCATTGAAACACGTATACCAAAACAACTCATCAATCTTTGTCTAACTGTGTAGAAAGAAGTGAATCATATTGAAAAAAATCAAATATTGAATGAAGGTTGACGAGTAAAGGTAAGAGAGCGAGAGACAAAAAGTGAGCAAGTCAATGGATGATTTGATTAGCAAAACGAAAACGTATTTCATCAATAGTAACAAATGTCAAGCTAAGATGAATTTCCCTGTAGGAACAATGACATGGCAAAGAAAGTATTTCAAAGGAAAACATTAAAGCTCACCATTTTAAATCCAATTAGAATGTGGTTGTGGGTTTTATTTCCTGCTCATCCACACCTACACCCATATTCTGAGATCCGTGTATGAAGTGCAATAAATCACTACACAGTGTAGTTATTGTACCTATCCGAAAAAAAAAAATGAAATCAAGGATAACACGAATGTCGATCAAATCGATGACTATTATTGGCCAAGCACTTTCACTGTTCAACGTACGCCCTGCGTAATAATGGTTGAAGTTTTTTATACAAAACATGAATAAAATAACTCAACAGTGGCTCCGGAATAGTCGCTGAAAAAAAACATTTGACAAACGAGCTTCTCTTGTTTTCTGTATGCTAGCACAAAAATTTCTTATTTGAATTATGATGCTCCTCTACAATTATAAATTGATCATTTTCTTTGCTTGTTTTGTATAACCATACTATTTAGCAAATCGAGTCAGATTTGAATAGATGATTTATTTCAAACTCGTCAAAAAATGTAAAAACATCTAATTGAAGAAACTAAAAAATCATCAATGGTGTGTTATTTGGTTAGTTGATAATTAATAAAAATGTGCCATAGATAGAGTTCTCCTGTGAGCAATTAATAATTTTCAACGATGTCGAACTTTTGAACACGACTATTGCCTGCATCCACAACATAGAGATTACCTTGACTATCAAATGCTAAGCCATTAGGCCATGCCAATTGATTAGCTGCGTCTCCTTGACCATTACCACCTGCAATTATATCACCTTGGGTAGCATCTTTGAACCAACGCATTACTCGTGCGTTTCCGTAATCAGCTACATAAACAGTTCCTAATTGATCTACGATAACTCCTCGAGGGTCTTTTAACTGTGAAAGGCTGTCACCTTCTCCTTGACCACCAGCCACGACTACACCTTCGGTGGCACCATCTGCCCATTTCATGACACGATGATTATCTTCATCAGAAACATATATTGAATAGTTTTGATCAACGAAAACGCAGTAAGCACCACTCAATTGATTTAGACCATCACCTTTTCCGTTGCCACCGGCAACTATCGTTCCTTTACTGTCTCCAATATCGTATCGCATAACTTCATTTCTTTCATTGTCAGTAACGTAGATAGATCCATTTTCATCCATTGTCAAACCATTGCAATCGATGTCTGTGGTAATTGTTTCATCTTCTGTATCAGCTCCACGACGCCATCGAATTACTCGTCGTCTAGTAGTATCACAGATAATTAAACTATTCGTCTTTTTATCAACGATCACATCTAATGGGGCATTCAACGTGCTGGTTTCCTGAAGCGGATCATCACCACCAGCGACTATTCGACCTTCTTTTGCACCAGCTTTCCATTCAACAATACGATCATTGGCTGAATCAGCGACAAAGATATTTTCATTATCATCAACAAACACGCTAGAAGGTAGCCATAATTGATTTAGATCATTACCATTACTATTTCCTCCGGCAACAGTGACAGCACTCTGCCTCCATTCTGTATTGCGACTAAGAATAGCAGAACGTGGTGGTACTAAAGAAAAAAAAAACATTTCAATTATTATGAATGAGTATTCACCAAAGTAAGATGAATCTTTAGATAATAAAGGAATAGAGCTCAACCAAATACACATAATCATCAAGCTTTGGTAAAAACTAGTAACCGAATATCATTCAATTATTTGTAAAATTTCTCGAAATACAAAAACGAAGTTTTGTGAAATATGATGGTAAATAAATCTTGGAGTAAACGTCGACAAAGTTAGGTCTACCATTTCTCTCCGACAGACTGTAACGCATAAACAAATACCATATGTTCACTCATTGTAAATACATGCAGACCAAGATTATATTATATGATATTCTATGTTCACAGGGACGAGTGAGAAAATAAAATTGATTCTAAAGTAAAAAGTTTTCTAAGTCAAATGCAAATGTATAAATTTCGAAATATTATCAAACTACACGCTCTTTGCTGAAACGCTAATGAATCACGTTATTGATATTAAGTTCGAACTAATATGTGTGTTAGAAGAGTCTTACGAATTCATCTTTGCCGAACAATAAGGAAAGGGAAATAAATGTGAATATTTAATTCAACATTCAAATTAGATCGCTCTCTTTTTTAGATCAATATTTGTCTAAAACCAAATAAAAGTCTAAGAATTAACAAGCAGTTATTGATTATGTATACATACCAAGAATGATTTATATGAGAAATAAAACTAGTTAATTACTAGGTTTATTCAATCAAATGATGATGTTGGAATATAATTTTTACATACCATTGAGTTGAATTCTTTTAGGGCCATCTTGCGTTGCACTTTGGCGAACAACAGTAAGTTCTTCATTAACCAAATCAGTTGTCTCGGATTCAGGAGTTATTTCAGTCGATGATGATGATGATGATGATCCAGATTGCAGAAACCAGACGAGAAAAATGCATTTACCAAGCCAATAGAATTGTAAGAAATCACATAAACCATGCAAGATATATTCAATGCAATCAAGTGATGAATAAATCATCCAACTAATCAGTAGTCGTTTCTCATCGAATATGCCAGGCAATTGAATAACCATAAAGCTAATAAGAGATTTTAAAATATTGAATCATATCATCAGTATTTAATGGATAAGACTTTTTCATCATACACGAATCAAAGTTAGCCGTGATCATAATATAATTTTACTGCTACATATCCAATGTGAAATAGTTTCATGAGGATATCTAATTGAAATGATGCTAATTTTTTTTTTTGGCTCAGTTCGTCTTTGGCTTCATTCTCGTAGAGAGAGAAAGATCAACATTGACAAGAGACAAAACGAGCGTGTCAATTAGTAAAATTTCAAGTGAAAGTATAGTGTGTAGACGTCTAACGAATGCTTAAAAACGAATCTTTATGTTCATATTTTTGAAGTAAAAGCAAATAAGAAAATGAGTAAAGGAAAATAAGGTGATATAAAAATAAGCAAACATTGAGAGTGTGTCCTGAAGTCAAACCTTAGTGGCACGTAGTTACTTCTAGAATCTATGCTACTCGATATAGTTCTTTATGTTAATTTTAGATATCGTATATGTATCATGAAATATTCTATGTATGGTAATTTTTTTGTAAACTTTCTGCTTCTGTGCGAATTCTTATTGAGACAGAAGATAAAATATTACTCTTATTTATCCATGACATCTATTGGTGAAAGAATTTGTTATTGTGTTACTCTGGGACAAAAAGAGAACTTTCATGTATTTGTTGTTACACGAGTTTGGTCTTACTTAACACAGAATTCAATAATGTTTACAAATATTAATTTTTTTTCCAAAGTTATGTCAAGTCTATCATAGCTTTATTAAGATTTATTCTTTGAGTAATCATACCATTCTATGATTACAATAAGAATAGTGGACCGGTCTCTAATTTCTACTTTAAATGCGGACTTATACGTGTCATGATGGTACTTAAAACTCATTAAAAAGTAAATTTCGATAAAGATGATACCAACTCTAATCAGCATTAATTTATTTCAACAAAAAAAGATATACTGAGATAGAATGGCACCTATTCAATACGCATTTCTTTGGAATGAATATAAGCTATTCCTCGTACGGGAATCATCTGCTGTTTAGAGCGAGACAAGTTTTTCACTTTGTGTCTCGATGTTAGATAATTCTTTACCAATTGGTCTGAATTTTTCTGAGTTGTTTGCATGCATTTTTTTTGCAAATCAAACTCTTCTTATTGATACTGAAGACTATTTCTGTAATAGAATGTGCATTAGAATTTTCTGCTAGAATGAAAATTCATAATAATAAACAACGTATTTTTTATCAAGTTACTTTATTGAAATAAAATCAAATAATTATCATAAATTTATTTGATCTAATTTTGTGAAACTCACATACATTCTCGAAGAAAATAATGAGTGTAAGTTTCAAGTCAAATTTTGTTGCCACTCTCCCTTGTCCACCCCATTACAGACACTTAGCAGCACAGATTCTCATTAATGTTATTTTATAAAATTAATCAAACTATAATTTTAAAAGAGAATTACCATCATTTTTTTTTTCTGAGTTGATTAACATACATTATAATGTGTAAGATACTTTGTAGATATCATGGATATGTAAAACAGAGTTATTTATCAATTAGTTCAATGACTATAAAAATAAGAATGTTGAATACGAAAATGAATGAAAAAATAATGAGTGAATAGCAACAATGCAAACTAAAAAAAGAGCGTCCATAAAAAAAAAATTTTTTCTGTGCGAAATACAGAAATTAGAAAGATACTTAGTTTGGTGTTCGATTATCCTAAAAAAAATTATAGTTTACAAGAGATTTTTCACTTTTACGTATTTTATATTAGTTTTATCAAACTAGATAATATATGTATGTTTCACGTTTCAGGCTCAAAGAGTATGTACTAAGAAAATGTTTTTTACTACTTCTTCGCAAAAGAACAAGAAACAACGAATCGGATATAATGTAGAAAGTAGATTAAGTATACAATTAGTGAATAATATTCAAATCTTACGAACATTTAATTCATTTACAAAGCTTATATCATATGTGTAGTTCTAAGCAGTTTTCTAATCATTGATTGAAACGTGGAAAAAGAACATTGATGAAAATAAATAGTGAACATGCTACATCAATGGATTAGGGCTGTTACAACGTTACTGTGATGATGAAGAGCCACATATGACTAATCGAAGGTTTCATTTAGCTGTTATTTGGTCAGAAAAAGTGAATAAAATAATGAGACAATCTTTTTTCTTTCTCTCAAAATTAAATTTCTCAAAGAAAAAAAAACTTGAAAATTTCACCCTGTTAGTCCCTCGTACGTCAGATAATTAAGCTGCAGATTATTGTATGATAATTTCTTCATCCTCTCGATGCGTGTTTTTTTTTGTCTTTTTCGTCGAAAAATATAATATTGGTAAAAGTAAAGGCTTTATGTACGTCCGCTACTGTAGTTTGTTCATCCTGGATGACAATTACGATACTTTTCATAGACAAAAAAATACGTACCGCCCTGCGCGGAAATTCACTGTATTGAAAAAATTACTCTTAATCACCATAATGACTGGGAGAAATAAGGAGAAACCTCTTTTCATTTGTTATCCTGATTCTCTAAATGTATGATTAGAAATAATCTGACTAATTTTACTTTAGCTCAACTTTTACTTGACTATTCAAAGTCTGTCTATATGAAAAATTTCATTGGTCTCTGCTGAAGATACGAAAGAAAAAAGAGGATCTCCTATAACATATCGAAAAAACTAAACTCTTTAAAACAATTAGTTGCAAATAAAGATATCACGGGTGAATATTTTCTTGTAACTATTTTTTGACCCACAAATCATTCGTAATTCGAACTGAATAGGTGTTGAAAGAAATATTACATCCATCTTACAATAGTATTTTAATTAAAAAGAAAATGATGTTTAAACAAAATATTTAACTCACGACGCATATGTTTGATAGAGTAGTCCGATGAGGTTACAAACGAAATCATTGCACCAGCCGAATACAAGATAAATCGCAAAAATACTGAATAGAGCTATAGAATAATATAAAAGCATAACATAAACAAGAAAAGAACGATTCAAAACATACCCATAGCAATAATAGAAGATTGAACACCGGTTTTCAGTTCAATTAGATCAAACACCAAACCAAATGGAGTATTGACATACAATGAACTTACGTTTTCTTTGAGTTTAGTAAAATACTGTTTAAATTTATCAGCCATATTTCTTTCCAAATGAATTCAAATCTGTAACGTAAATAGAACAATAGACAACTTCTTCAAATCTAATCATGCGAAGAATGGCATTCAACTGTTCTTAAATGTGAATGAAAAATTGATAAACGAACAAAATCAACTTTTTAAGTAAAAAGATGATTCTCCACGCTTGGCTAGTTCTTCATTCAAACATTAATGCCAAAATCAAGATCGTCAACAATAGTTAGTGAAAAAACAAAAAAATTTTTGAAATATCACTGTTACTCATATTTCAATTTCATACAATGTAAATTATTACTACCTTGAATTTTCTAGAAAAACTCATTTTAATTTTAGGCCTTGAAATATTCTAAAAAATCGAGCGACACTATCATTATTATTAATACAAAATTTTAACTATAAGACAAAACTATCAATTCTGAAAAATAGACTCTACTTTTTTAAATAAGATCTTATTGTCCTCTGTACTAGCTTCCACTTAAATGTTACAGCGCTTAAAAGCAATGAGCTGCAAAGTATTCAAAAAATGACTAGAAATTACTACTCAAAGTACTTCAAAACCTAGAGACACTATAAAATTTGAACGAAACATAGTACAGACAGCAGTGAGATCTTATTTGAAAGAGTAGATTCTACTCTTCAAAATTGATAGTTTTTGTTCCACAGCTGAAATTTTCATCAATCATAATGATTGTATCGCCCGAAAGCTAAATATTCATCGAAGATTCTTCTAAGATGATCTAGATTGAAATGATGATTTTTATAAATGTTTAATGTTTCATGTTCCTTGTTTTAGGACACTTGAAAACCTAGAATTACAATACAATGTTTTTTCTTTTTACAAATTTCAATTAGTAATATTTCCATTGAATTAAGTGTTACTATGAGAATTAATCATTTTTCAAAAATTTTTTCACTTAAATTTAGCATGTCAAATCTTACAGTTAATGTCATCTATAAAACTTTCAGCTCTTGCTAAATAATTAAACAGTGAAAATATTCTATTTTGTTGTATCTAGCAATAGCTAAAATAACTGTGCTCAAAAAAAATGGTTGCATGTCAATTTTGTTGACTACTCAGAGAGATTTCAATATTTCCTGTAAATTAACCTTCAGAAAAAAATTATAAAAAGAAAATGTATACTAAATTATTTTCCTCTATTATGATCAATGGGAGAAGATCATCTACTTTAATGGTTGTTTACGACAAAGTGTCGAAGAAAATGATGATTCGTTGTAAAATTGTTTACAATATCTGAAGATATTAATTCGATGAACAATTATAGTTGCCGTATTATAATGCTATTCGTTGACGACACTTTTCTATGGTCAATGTGTGCGACAGTCATAATGCTTTGTAAAGCATTCCTTACGACAGCTGTAAACTACCACCGTACACGACAATTATCATTTTCCGACATAATTGATCGATATACAGCCGAGCATGATTAACCTACGTATGAATTAGTTTTTTTTTAATCTATTTTCTTTCTGAATCGCATGCAATGTCACACATAAAGTGAAGTAAAACAAGAAAAAAAATATAACGGAAGTCATGTTGACTGGAAGGAATGGGTATAGTCTTTTATAGACTATCATAAAAAGTATTTACTATGAACCGTTTTGTTTTAAGTAAGAGTTAATCGATGTAAATTCTAAAATGCTCATTATATGAAGATATTCATTATTGAAACTTATTTACACTAGAAAATAATACTGTATTTGATTCTTATTTACTCACTGATCACCAACTGTTAAGTGTTTATTAATAAAAAATAATATGTAAAGTCAACTATGTTTACCATTTGGTTTCTTTGCTTTAGCAGTTTATAAAATCTAGAATGTATCTATTATTCAAATATTTGTTGATAACAAATTTCTGTTCTCATAGAATATCGAACTGGATTGTATATGATACGCGTTGCTTCTAGAGAAAAAATACTATTAAATATGTGAATAGTATTTTTTTACCTTCTTTGAATTAATTGTAACAAGAAATAAAAATAAACAGTCTGACTTCTTTACTTTCTCTAAAGACTGAGAGGAGAACCAAGAGGTTGTTCCTTAGAAACGTGAAAAAAATCGATAGAAAGAAAAAGAATATGTTACAAAAAAAAACAGAGCAATGCTCTCATAATAGATGCTGACGTACTTTTATCGTGCTGGCAAATCGATTGACTTAAAACACAATCTAATACATCGTTGACACGCTTACTTCATTGAGTCTCAAATAGTAATCGTAAAAAACATAAATTTTACATTAAATTATAGACAACTGATCGAAATAAAACATAGAATAATCAAAATGAAAAACAATTCATAATCAAGCGCATATCTAGGAAAATTCTATGTGTTACCAACATATTGAATTGTTTCTTTGAAACATTGACTATCAGATTGATATTCAACTGATTGAGTCTAATAATAGTAAAAAATTTTAAAAACATCAGAAGACCTTCATGTTGTCACGATAATTCGAAGGTTCACTTCGAAAATGTATGGATGTGGATGAAATAAGATCATTCAATGTAATTCTATTCATCAACTACACAAGAATTGGAATATTTGAGACGCAGATGATAAGTAAATAGAACAGAACAAACAATTGACACTTGTAATACATCGTTGGTTCATGTAAAAAAACGAATACAAACAAAAAAAAAAAGAACGAATTGAAAAGTTTTTGCGCAGTTTTTTTTTTCAAGCATTAGATTTTTAATTCAAAATAATGTAAGGATAGTCGTTTGATTGATTATCAAAGAAAGAAAATTTGATTATGAATCTCATAAAACAATCGTACATAACTTTCTAAGACTTGAAAGAAAAAATTCTTCATTTCTTCTTAATAAAGATTGATTACGAAAGGATCAAAGAATTCAAAACATATTAATCTCGAAAAATAAATATATGTTTAGCAAGACTTATATTTTGTCGATACTTTATTCTACGAGAAGCTTGTCTTGTAAAAAATCGAAAATTCATAATAAAAATTGTTTTGAGACACTATAAAATATGTACTTCTGATTTCAATAACATTTTTCAAAGGTTTTTTTTTTATAAATGATGTTAAAAAAAACGTAAAATCAACTATTTCTTTTGCATTGTTTTTTTTTTCGTATACCTTTATCATGTACAACTTTGAAATAAGTATTAGCAGCAATATTTTTTTTCTCATGAATATCGCAATGTAAACTCATTATCTGAATTTTCTTTGTTTTGGTTTGATGTTTCTTTAATTGAACGAATACATCATCGTACAATTTCGATTGTAAAGTGCAATCGAGAGTATTTTCAAATTGAATGTTCTATCATTAGTTTATTTATTTAGAATGAAGTCAATATAAATGTTATTAAAAAGTAGAGGTCAAGTCCTTCGTTTTCATTCATACTTTAGAATACACTTCGGTTATTTATTTTGATAGAGAAATCGGAAATAATTTAGAAACCAAAGTAAAAGTTCCGATTGATTTTCTCAATTATCAAACTTGAAAATGTATAATCAACGATGCAAAATATAAATTAAAGGTAGTTGGCCAGGAAAAAAATTTCCCGAACGATAGTTTGATGTGCCAAAAATAATGTTCAAAACAATAAAATGATTAAAGAGGACAAGTCCTTTTTCTTTGTCTATATATACGTGTCATATATTGATTCATTACAATGAAGAACATAAATGTATTTGTTAAAATAAAAATTATTTTCAATAAAATATGTTTACTGCACTTGAACTCTTTTGTATTTTTGAATGGTTAAATCATTTTAGATGTTTCAATGAAAATTGTCACGCTAATTATTTATTATAGTTGTCAAATGATGAAAAAATAAAAATTAATTTGTTTGATTTATTATTATTTATTGTGTTTTGTTTTAATTTTAATTCGTGAAAAAAAATACTTATGATCAAATTCTAGAGATTTTTCAAGGTCAACATAACAAAACAAAAAATCTTTGCAATCAGTTTTCATTTGATATATATAAGTAAAATTTACTTTTTTTTTGTACTATTAAAAATCATAGTGCAGACACTGGAAAAACATAATTTTCTATTGTGTATTACAGTTTGTTCGTGGATTTTTTTTATGAACATCAATTAGATTTACTATTTCTTACTAAATCAGTATTTTACATGTTGTTTTTAGTTTAATGTTTCATGCACTCATTTTTAAACAGTCTTCACAAGATTTTCTATGCAGAAAAATTATTTTTTCTCGTAGAAAGTTTCTTGTCATTTGACATATTTTACAACCAAATGGCGAATCTTACTATTTCTATTTTAGGATAAGATGTACTGTAGTTTAAGCTAAAAGAAAACTTATTAGCATAGTCTGTTTGAGACTAAAATGTAATACTCTCACATAAGTTCTTTAACTTCATTGTAATAATACAAAATACGTAAAGGAAAAAAAATCTTTAGCAGGCCAATGGGTTTTCCGAAGTAATCAATCGACATAGAAACGATATATCGTGTTCATTATTGCATTTCGGATAGAAAACTCTTGTTCTACTTTAGATGACATCATCATTATGATAACCATTGATCTAACTGATAAATAAATCAATCATACATATTCATCGAATATATGAAGAATCTTAACAAATTTTTGTGTATATATATTGATAAGCTCACAAACACAAATATTGAGTATTTTCCGAAGTTTTAACTTGATCAATTGATGCTTTTTATGTTAATCATATGATGACTATGGCAAATCAATCGATGACCACCCACTGTCATTGACACCTATAATGTCAATTTTTATTAGTGTAAAAGTACAAAAACAAACTATACGATTTCAAGGAAAGTTTTCGAATATTCTAGAACAGTGAAAATCTATTGTTTATTTCGTTCAATGTCTTTTTTCATCGCCAAGGAGCTCTGAGATAAGAATCCGACGGCAGTTAGTATGGAAATGTATTCAATCATCATTGACTGCAGTTGTCATTAACGATAAAAGAAATTTCTAGTGTTTTTGTCTTCTCTAGGTTTTTTCTCATGAAACATATATGAATTATCGATTCTTATAATTATGATAGGTGACATACAGCGGGAATAAATAAGAAAGAAAGCGAAATATAAAGTTCAACACACAGTTTCGAATTTTCTATCGTATCTAGTTGTATTGTCAAGTGATACAAATCTAAATTTTATTTACGATAAATAAATAATAATAAGAAATGCAAATATTAATTTGATTAATATCAGATTATTATTTTTCATTCATACATCTCTTTTTCGTATTTTATTTAAAAATGAGTCATTTTGATAAGTTATTGCATCATCTTGGAATTTTCCAACTAAATGGTTGACGTGAAGTAAAGAAAAAAAATCAGCTGATATCTATATTCTTTGTTTCAATTACTGCACAAGAGTAGAAAGAAAAAAAATATCATTCTCTCTCTCTCGCGTCTATATGTATTTTTATATAATTGTACTTCTTTATATGCATCAAGTCATAAACAAAGAAACACAGTAAAACATTCTTCGTTTCATTTATATAATTGCATCATTCAGATACGTCATTAGGAAATGACACACGAGAAAAACGTGACATGATTATTTTTCAGAGATAAATGTAATTGTACGATAAAAAAACATTTCATCATTCTCTTACCTTGCTTGAATTTTTTGAAATGGCTTGGAATTTTCTTTACTTCTTCAAATGATTCGAATTTTCATTTCAAACATAAATATTTAAATGAAATTTATGATAAAAGCAATCTTAATATACTTTTAATTAATCTCTTTGTTTCTAATTTTTCTCGTGTAACAGAATTAAATATTCTTTTATTAATCTTTACATCCTTTCTTCGTCAAGCTTTCACTTGGTTTTTTCCTTCCTCATTCGTTCCTTAAGAATACACCGCGGAAATAAAAATAAACTTACCCAGTTTACTCATCATACCGTTTCCTCCCTATATAAACTCAAACATCAAGATTTCATGTTCACTTTCAGATTTTCAACACATACATAGTATTATCTTAAATAATAAAAGCAATTATGACTAGATCAATTTCTCAATTGACTCGCCAACATAGTTCAACTGCAGACCATTCAAAAATGAAAAAATCTGATCATCCAAAATTTCATCAATGTTTACCTACAAATGATCAAAATTCAATTGAATTAATACCTGATGGTGATTCAGGTACAGAAGAAATTGAACAACAACAACAACAACAATTGGAGTATGTTTTTCGAGCAACACCCAATGATAATGAAGATCAATTATCAATAAAATCATTTACTCTAATTTCTGATGAAGGTTTTTCAGAATGTGAAACTCAAGATGAAACAACACTTACACTTATTAAAAAAGATCGTAAGTTGGACAACAGTTTTTTATTTAGTCACTATGACTCAATAGTCATTTGTAATGTCGTTACACTAAATGTAACTTTTTTCTGTTTGTGTTTTTTCTTTTTGCAGTTAAACTTGCTCAAAATATTCCAGATCATACAAAAAAAGATTTTTGTTCTGATACAAGCATAGCTTTTCATGGTGAATTTGCTCGACGTATTTCAGTACCATTATCATTATGTCACAAAAGTCGTTATTATCTTTTCACTGAAGAAGAACTTGCTGATGAATGCTATGCAAATTTACAATTTGATTATTTCAAACTTGACAATGCTAAAGCACAATTTCAATGTTCAAATATTTATTGTCAACATTCATGGACATCAATGCGAGCTCGAGTTTCATTTTCAGTATGTTCACCAAAAATTGGTTTTATTGTACTTAAAATTTTTGGTCAAAATTGTCAACATTGTAATTCATATACTCAAGCTCTTTGGTATATTGGTAAGTCTTTTATTCTTTTTTATATTATGTTGTAAATTTTCATTTTTTCGCATAATTTAGATGAAGTTTGTCGAGTAATGAAAAATTTAGCTTTATCAATTTTTGAAAGATATTTTCCAGATATGATTAATAATATCGAATTAGAGAATCAAAAATTAGTTCAAAATAACAGTAAACGATCTCGTGCATCACATCATGATCCTGCTCAAAGAAAAGGAAAAATGATGGCATCACACGCTAGAGAACATTGTGAAGCATGTCGACGTGGTGTATGTTTCATTTAAGAAAAAAATGAACAGTTATTAACTTGTACATGAACATGCTATTTTTAGCTTTATAGACATTTTTTTATTGTGTTTCTATCATTCGGTTGTTTCTCTGTAACTAAGTTATATAAATTTATTATTAAGAAAACATCATATTTTCTTTTGTGAGTGTGTGTGTGTACAGTGAGTACCAATGTTGTTCAGCAAACTTTTTTCCGCTAACTTGAGAACTGGAAAGAACTCAAATTGTGATTCGAGTAGAGAATATTGTTTCCAATAAGAATCTAAAGCAATAAAAAAATATTATCAGATATTTGAAGGTAAAACTTTTGTTTTTTTTTTCAGTATCTAGAAAGCGTAAATATAATTTTATTTAGACTACTGGTAGTGGTAGAGCCAATATTTCTCCCATATAATGAGCTACCTCCGTGTTGTCTACGATGGTTTTTTGACTGAGATATAGATATTGATTGAAGATTTAAAGAATCATTTTTCTGTTGAAAATAAAAAACGGCCTAGGGGGCTTTTGTGATACTCCTGAAGGTGTGGCTGTGGAGATGGGTGTGAGTATCAATGCGGCTGCATAGGTGTCGGTGAATGTAATATTTATTCCCACACAGCTACACCCTCCATTTTAATCATTATATAATGATGAAGAGCATAAGTGATGCCATATAAAATTGGTGTTGATGTGAGGGAACCGACCAAAGGAATGTAACATAGCACCTCTTCGGTTGTTATATATATAAAGGCTGCTGGAAGTTTAATCATAAGCTCTTTTATTTCCTGAAGTGTAAGATACGTGTTTAGAGTAAAGCTCTCATTGACAATCTGTTGCAACCGAATTATATACGATATTATCATCGTTGTTATTCTCACTAAAGATGCCTCATCAAGCTCAAGTTGATTGAAGTAAAATTTGCTCTTGGCAAGAATAAGTGTGGAAACTGCCTCAATAGAGACACCAAGATTAGGAGTTGTAGCATGTATTGCCTTGACTTTTGCTTTCACCACGGCTTCACTCAACGAAATCATGGAAAAAAATAAATGCATGTCCCTTCAATTCTAAAAAGTCCTATGTAAAGCGTTGCTCTAACAAAGGAATCTGATAATTTACTCGCTTATAATTGTCAATAGGAAATACTTTATCTTCATTATATAAATTACCAAGGCTTCCTTTCATGTTTGGAAGTATTTTGTTTAGCGTTTGATCTCTGGTGACAGTATGATCCTGCTTTGAACCTGCGGATGGACATCTGTGTCATTTTGTACGCCATAGCGAGTTTTTGCCCGCGCAAAAGGGAACTGTTTTCCATTTTGACTGATCTATTCTCACAACTATTTGTCTGTTTCTGTAAACCGTATACGGATTACGATTAGGAAGAAATTGAGATGTTTGAATCCTATATTTTCTAAATACGATTCTTTAGAAAACAATGAAGTTCCAAC